TCCCTCACTAACCCCCCTGCCAGCCTGGTCACCCTACGCAGCCTGCTTGTTCAGTCATTTGGTCATCCCTCACTAACCCCCCTGCCAGCCTGGTCGTATGCAGCCATCTTGTGAGGACATGAGGGTTAATTTGCATATTACCTCTTTATTATATAGGATTCTTAATAATGGGTATATGTCTTTCAAGTGCACCCAAAATCTCATAACAGTGGACATTTTACCTGAACACTCTCTACAATTATAAAAAGGGGGTATTTATACAGTTAAAGGTGAGCATTACAAAACAAAGTGTGTATTTGTGCAATCAAAGGACTTCTGGTTCCTGGCATTTGAGTTATTTAAAGGGGCCATGTTTCTATCATGGCAATACAGTAAAATAATGAGAAAGATATTCAAGGGCATAGAATAGAATGAAGAACAAGAATCTACAAATACATGAATACCACCCTGCAAATAACTGGATACTTTGAAAACCTGGATTAGTTACTTTAGTTTTAATTTAATGCTACTGTTTCAAGGCATAAAATATATTCTGCTTTTTTTAACATACCCCTTTATGATAGGAGACTCCAATAGTTTAACATAACTGACTCTTTTTAAAATATTTAAAGAATTGCTCTATGTATCTGTCTCTGAAAGAAAACTTGGGGGAGGGGTACATCCTGAGCTTATTATAATTTTTCTGTAACAATCTAGGATAATGGGCACTTAGCAGATGCTAATCTAATAAACTCTGTTTAGACTATTCTTCCTCTAAAGTGTAAGTGTTCAAACTATATCACAGAACTTTTAGTTTCAACATTAATCAGTTCAAATTAATTTAATTTTATTATTCAACATCCCTAACCTTTTTTTTTATAATCTATAGAATGGTGAAAATAAATATATCATTTGGTTGAAATAAAGATTTAAAAATATAAAATGCACCATAAATGTACATAGCTGTCATATAACAAATATTTTTTCTCTTCTGACTTACTCATTTCTCTTTTCTCCTTCATTTTTTCCTTTGGGCTATGGATAATGATCCTTTCTGTGATGAAATGTGGGAGAGGCAATAAGAAAGCACATTTTCCCTCTACTCTTGGAGAAGGCATTTGACATGACACAGAGGAAAAAATAAACTGAAATTTCCCTATGTGTTCAAAGGCTAGCTGTTACAATGACAATTTATTTTTGTTCTACATATTTTTGTATGTTCACCATATTCTCTCTAAAGTTTAGAAATAGCATTTTTTATGTTAACTACTTTAATTTTGCAAGGAAAATAAACAACAAAAAATGTTTCAAATTCAAGGAGTAAAAAAAATGTCATAAAATGATTTTGCTTTTTTTAATTCTGTGGTTTTTAAAAATTTTCCATTGCAATTTCAGCTGAAAGAAGTTTGAATAGACAGTTTAATTTTCCATTTAAGCCTCTCTATTACTATTAAGCTACATCCATGCAAATGATTTTATCTTTTATCTCCTTCTTAATACACAGATAGTAATCATTTTTGCTGAATTTCTTAGAAATTTTTAATTAAATAAGTTTCCAGTAAACACAATTGATAATCAATGATTATGATAACCTTAGAGGCATCACACAGAAAAGGAAAAAATAATATAATTACTTGGAGAAAGGTGCTTACAATAGAAAACATTAATTTTTGGTGACTAGGCTAACATAGCAAATTTAATAATTATATTATGATGTGTTCCAGAATTAGGTAAAGTTATATTAAAAATCTGTGAGATGATGGAAAATAATCTTAATGTGTGAGAAAAAATACCCAAGAATGATATTATGCCCAAGAATAACAGCTAACTTTACTTCTTTGCACCCAAATGGCTGTAAGAGTGTGAAAAGTCCCATAATCTTTTTCTTGCATTTTTCTCTCTGTAAAATTCAAATCTTAATATTTATGTATTCTAATTTTAGAATAATCGTGTGAAGGTCCATTATATAATATGGAATTTTACTTCACTAGGAGAGAAGCTCTGAAAACATCCCAAAGTACTATGATTATAACTCATTACTATTTCACTTTAATGACTAAGGCTATCATACATCTCTATGGGAATCAAAGTCTCCAGTTTATGTGTTAATTATACTGACCATCTCAAAACATTTAATACATCTCTCATAACTCTTGTTTAGGCCAGTAACAAAGAATAGGTATTAAATCTGAATGGGTGAGATGAAATAACAACAAAGTAGCTGAAATTTCTTTTAGCTTTAGCGACTGGGTAAATATATTAATGCAAAAGAAAATACTTGAAATAAATTGAAGATGTTAGTGTAAATTGAAACTAGCATTTTCATTTAGAATATTTAGATGACAACTATTTTAAGGTCAACATATTGTATGATGTAAGTGTAAAAAAAAGTGAGTAATGATGAAACCAGAGTAAAAGTTCTATTTCATTAAATGACTTAAAATACCAAAGATGAAAGAAAAGAAGCTTTGTGAGGCAAGAAGTACATCTTATCTGATATTCAGGAAATTTGCCATCAACTTGGTCCAGCATGGACAGCTTATAGACGCCTAGGGAATTGGAAAGGGAGACTCAAGCAGATAGTGTATTTGAAAATGTCCTACTTATCTTTTTTGGAATCTGTTATAATTTAATCATCTTGAAATATGAGAGTTAACATATCCAGAGAAAGGTGATAAATGAATAAACTTAGTTTACTCAACTAAGTTTAGTTATGTAGGACGTTATTTTGTGGAAAACTGTCTGAGCAAGGAACACGGGATCCTATGATGAGCACAGTTCTTGCTTTGAAGGTTAGATGAGAGGGTGAGAAGTGTGAACCAGACAAGCTAACAGGTCATTGTGATAAGTACCAAGGCTGCTGCCCAGGGGACCCTGCAAAGGGCCTCAGGCTAAGGGAAAAACAAGTTTTTTGATGACTAATTTGTGCACCGTGGTTCCAGATGAGTCACAGGGCTGTTGGGGGCAGTTTTAAATACTCTAATTAGGCAAAGTCCAGAGTCCTCCGGAGAAAAAGACCTTGATCTTGGAATCAGAAAAATATCTCTAGGAGAAGGTGTCGATACAACTAGTGTAAGTCAAGAGCAAAAGTATAAAAAGGTATTAAAAGATGAAATTATGAGAAGAGGGGTGAGGTTTTGGAAGGACATTGTATCCAACAAAGTACATATTTTGTGCAGAAGGACTTGGAGGCAAGAGAACACATGGAACTTCCTGGATGTTTCAAAAGAGCACAGGCCTCTAAAAGGTCAGTTAAAAGATGAAAGTCCTAACTTTTAACAATCCACTCTGAGAGAGCAGTGCCCTGAGAATAACCCCATTTCAATTCTCGGACTCTTCTAGGTCAGATAGGGAAGGGAAAGGTCAATGGAATCCAGCGCCATCATGGAGCTACAGAACAATGGGTATTCTTAACGCTCTGACGCCTTATGTCCAGGTGTGAGCTTTACTTTGCAAAATAAAACAAAATCCTAAGCACATTCTCCGAATGTTTTTGTTCAGAGCCTGGTTTTCAGGAGTTTTTTTTCTTTTTTTCATAAACCTCTTTCAGGGGATAGAATTGAGAGAGAGAGAATAAAAATATACCCTCTTTTTGTGTCAATCTTGGGCCTGTGAGAAATGATGCAAAACCAAGTACTATGTATAGGTAAAAATAGGGACTTAAATGGTACACAGCAAATCAAGACAGTGCTTAGTTCTTGGGAAGGAAGACAGAACCTGAAACAGAGAATCAGCTTTATATATTCGCTATTTAAACAATCAGAAAAATTGGAAGAAAATATTAGCATTTATTAACTTGGGTCATGAGTAACAAGGTTTATTGTATTATTTTCTATTATCTGCTCTCTTTAAAAAAAAAATAATAATCAGGTGCCTCTTAGCTCATGTTTGGCTCTTGAGGGGCCCATATGCTCATCTTAGTCTCTTGCCAAACTCACAAACCTCTGTTCAGCTGGGGAAGCAAAAATTAACATCTCCTCTTTTTGCAGTTTCACTAATTTCATGATCATGCCCCTTCAAGGTGGGTTGATTTCTAATGTGATCATTTTAATGTTAACTTAATGTACAATCAAAGCAAAAGAGATGAAATAAAATGCCCTTATTATCTATTAGTACAGGATGAAAAGATTTTTTAAATAAAGTGCTATAATATGTAGCAAAAGATTGTCATGTATTTGCTATTTTAGTTTCTAAGAAAATTATTTCGGAGACTGGATATATAAATCTAAAAAGAAAGAAATGGGGAAAAGCAAGTTAGTTTGCTTCTCATTGTAATTTTGATTTAATGATGTCTCATCGGATTGTGAGTCAGAGGCAGGAGACTCATGATCATTGTTCACCACAGCAGCTGCTGTGCTCAAACCTCCTTCGTTGTCCGGGATTTCTACAAGCTTCTGCCCTTCTCTCAAAAGCTCAAGGTAATGTGGACATCAATGATTGGTGTGTACACAATATAAAAAGAAATTCTAAAATAGTAGAGAAATAGCTGATTGTTGAGTGCCAGATTTCTGTTCTCTAGCATTATTTCCCAACTTAAAATCCAACCAACACAGCACCAAAGGGCCCCTTTCTCTCTCTTTTCTGACGTAGAGGTGTTCCACTCCCCGCATCACAGTATTTTATCTTTGTGAATCTGATAGACTGGAATACGAAGAAATTGGCTGAATAATATTTTGTGTCAGATACTGTGCTAAAAGCTTTCCTGTCATTCAACCAGTTATTAGCTCCATACTGTAAGTGAGCAGACAGGTTTAGAGACGTTCAGAGAATCACCTGTAGTTACACAGCCATTAAGCTGTAGAACTGAAATCTAAACACAGTAAGTTAGGACTCCAGAGTCCAAGCTTTCAACCACTTTGTTAGACCTCTTCCTAGTGTAGTTTTTAAGCCACATCTGTTTGATGACTAAGGAGGTTGAACGTCTATTGATCAAGAAAACTGCCCCCTAAGCCCCTTGAAGGAGAGACAGTATAACGTAGTGATTGAAAGCACAGAACTTGACATCAGATGCCCTGTATTCCAATCTGTTGTCACCATGACCACAAACAAATTGCTCTCTGAAGTGAAAATGATAATATCCCTACCTCCTATGGGCATGGTGAAGAGTAACTGTGATAGATAAAATATTGAATGCTTAGCTGTGTGGCTAGTACATCATAAGCAAATAATAAACATACAAGTAATCAAATATACATTGTTTTGTTAGGAAGGATACCAAATTAAGAGTTGGGTCCTCAATGAAAACAAATTTTAGGGGAGCCAGAAAATAGAACAAAGACTTAAAAAAAACTCTCTGCATTCCCTGTGCCTATTATATTTTATGCACAACCTTAAAGAACATTAATAGTCACCAGTTGCTACTTGATTTGTACCTGTTAGACCTAAGATTGGACCAGAAACACATTGATTCATTGATTCATTCAGTATTAATTGATTTCAAGCCCTATGCTAGATACTGTGTAGTCAGAACTCTGAGACTGTGCTATCATGAAACTATAATCTGGACATTCATCAAAATCTCTTTATATGTGCCAGCAGATGATAGTAAATGAATATTTCTGTAACATAAAATGACAAAGTCATCTGATAGTATGTCATGAACTATTTCAGTTTTGTATAATTCCTTAGAAAGTTTGTGTGAGTGTACTCAGATTTCTTTCAGAGATTCACAAAATGATAGATACATTTTTTTTCTTGTTCCTCAGGGCTCATCAACATACCTGCAGTAGCCCTTGGAATATTCTCTGGAGGGATAGTAATGAAAAAATTCAGAATCGGTATATATGGAGCTGCAAAAATCTACCTGGGATCATCAGTCCTTGGGTACCTCCTATTCCTTTCCCTGTTTGCACTGGGCTGTGAAAACTCTGATGTGGCAGGATTAACTGTCTCCTACCAAGGGTATGTTCACTCATGAAATAATCTGAAAAGATTGGCTTGCTTAATCAAATTAATTTTTCATAGAGTTTCATAATAAGATAATTTGATTTCTAACCATCATCGCCATGGAAAGGGGATAATTGTTCTATTGTTCCATAACTGATGATATTTATGACATGAAAGTTATAATTGTCACCAAAATCTGTCATCTCTTTTGAATTTGAATGTCTTAAAGAAATATAAAAAAAGCTAAACCTACATCTTACTTTAGGGCAGCAACCTAATAGTGGACAATTCAAACTTTGAATCCTCTTCCCATTCTTTTTTTTATATACATTTTATTGATTTTTTTACAGAGAGGAAGGGAGAGGGATAGAGAGCTAGAAACATCGATGAGAGAGAAACATTGATCAGCTGCCTCCTGCACATGTCCTACCGGGGATGTGCCCGGAATCAAGGCACATGCCCTCGACCGGAATCGAACCTGGGACCCCTCAGTCCGCAGGCCGACGCTCTATCCACTGAGCCAAACCGGTGCTGGCCTTCTTCCCATTCGTAGTGAAAAGACATTGTATGGGTTATTTAATAGAATCCAGCTTCAATTTTCCCATTTAAAAATAGAAGTAATTACTGCCTTTTAAGGTTTTGTAAGACTTAAGCAAGATAGCATATGTGAAAGTGTCCAGTATTGCCTGGCACAAAATATATATGCCATTCATGGAAACAATTGTATTTTTTTTCTTTGACCATCACTGGGAACGTCTCCATGCCACCCTTTGGGGTCTTTGTTGTATTCAAATCAGGTAAAGTTTCAGGAGACAATTCTATTCCTCAACCCAGTGACCCACATGGCAGCTCTCTTTAGTTCTTTGCAGTTGGCCAAGAGAACTTACTGATACTCTCAGGCCTATGACATCCCTATGGGTGTGTGATTAAGTTTCTTGACTTCCAGAGTCTATCTCTCTTTTTTAAAAAATTAAAAGTATAGTAGACATACAATAGTATATTTTTTCAGTTGTACAACATAGTGATTCAACATTTATATACCTTATGATTTGATCACCATGGTAAATCTAGTAAGCATCTGTCACCCTACAAAGTCAGTATTATATAATTGACTATATTCCCTGTGCTGTACATTACATCTCTGTGACTTATTTATTTTAACACTTGAAATTATTACCTTTTATTCTCCTTCACCTTTTTCACCCATTTCCCCACCACCCTCCCCTCTGTCAACCATCAGTTTGTTCTCTCATCTATGAATCTATTTCTGTTTTGTTTTGTTTGTCCATTTCTTTCTAATGGAGTTTTTTTTTAGATCCCATATACAAGTAAAGTCATATAGTATTTATTTTTCTCTGTCTGACTCATTTTACTTAGCACAATTCCCTGTAGGTCCATCCACATTGTCAGACATGACAGATTTCATTTCTTTTCATTACTGAGTAACATTCCCATATATCTCACATTCTCTTTATTCATTCATCTATCGATGGATATCCAGGTTGATTCCAAATCTTGGCTATTGTAAATAATGTTGCTATACACTTAAGGGTGCTTATATCTTTTACAATATGTGTTCTCATTTTCCTCAGATAAATATCCCTAAGTGGAATCTATCACTCTTAAGGCTGGGTCTTGAAGAAACTATTTTGCCTTCTCTTCAAGAGTCCTTATAATCACTGTCTTTGAACATGAGTTTCCAGAGGCAGCTCTTTTTATCCATCCACCTACCTCTACATTGTTGGTTTAAAAAAATGATCAAGCCACTCCTGTATGCCATGCCAGCCTTCCTGGTTGCACCTGCCTGACTGACTAGAAGTACCTGTGGCTCAAAGGTCAATGCTTCTAACATTACTTTCTGTTTCCTGCAGGTTCAGCTGCTTCTTGCTTACTGCTTGCTTTCCAACTCTTTCCCTATGCTTTCTTCCAAGCTGACTTGTCTTGTCTCCATTTTTCAATCTCCATCACCTTCATTAACTCAGTTTCTCCTATTGTCAAGGGAACATCAGTTATACTTTTGTTATTGAACATGTACAGAAAAATTAATGAATGCAAAGTTCTTATACCCTGCTTCTGGAAGTTATCACACTAATGTTAGACTTCCCTAAGTGTAGCATCACCTTAGTAACAGTCAGCAATGTAGATTAAGAACAATAATTATAAACAGGAATTACATGAAGATTCTGGAGAGAGTAGAAGTCTTGTGCTATCTTTATCCCTATAATCCTCATAGTAAATGGACAGTGGTAAAGTACTTTGTATTTTGCAATTTACAAAATATCTTGACTTTCAGTATCTTCCTTGTATCCTCAGAACACCTTGTGAGGTAAATTTTGTTATTCTTGTTTAAAGGAAATTAAGTTTAGAAAGGTTAGTTTGCTTCCTCAAAGTATAATAAATTTCTGCAACGCCATGCTCTCTGTAAGACAAAAGCAACACATAAACAGACATGAATAGCAAACTTTTGAAGTTCATGTTAAAAGTATAACATTTTAGTATAAAATATTTATAATGATCTATATTATAAAAGGGTAATATGCTAAATAAACCAGACATCTTCCAGATGTCCTACCAAACAAAGCCACGGTGGCAGGGGCTGAGACAGAGGCAGTTAGGGGCGATAAGGCTGGCAGGGGAGAGCAGTTAGCAGGCTGGCAGGGGAGGGCAGTTAGGGGCGATCAAGCAGGCAGGCAGGCGAGTGGTTAGGAACCAGCGGTCCTGGATTGCGAGAGGTATGTCCGGCAGTCGGACATCCCCCGAGAGGTCCTGGATTGGAGAGGGTGCAGGCCAGGCTGAGGGACCACCCTTCTCCCACCCCCACTCCAACCCCTGGAATTTCATTCATGCACCAGGCCTCTAGTTTTATTATAAAAATATTTAGAATAGAACATAAATGTTATTAAATTAATAGAAAATAATATGTTTATTACATGAATACTAGCCCTTAAAATTACTCATCTTAAAAGATTATAACTGCATTGAAATAATGCCATCATTCTTTAAAATATTCTAAAACTCTTCTTTTGCTTTCAAAAATATTCTCAACAATGGCACTGAGTTAGCCTATAAGAGTAGCTTTGCTATTGGAAGCAACCAAAAAAAATTGCAACATCACTGGGGAAGTCTGTCCCCTCCCAGCTTGACTATTTTGAAAGCAAATTTCATTTGAATATAAACATCCTGGCATATTTGATAAAACTCATAATTACAATTTTAAACAACTCCATTGGCAACACATCCTTCTTAAAAACCACGTGTGCAATTAGTTTCTCCATCAAGATTGCCCTAGGTGATACATTTAACTTACCTTCATTAACATAAAATAATTGGCCTTATAAAATACAACCTGCTCCCCAGGGATCCCCCTGAGTCACTGTGATTCTGGACACTCAACAGGAACATTGTCAAGAACCTTTAGATGAGGTAGTGGAAGGAAGAAAGCTGCTTCTGCAATAATGAGGATAAATCTATTGTGAGACAAGAATTTAGAATCCAGAGACTTGTAAGGGTTATAATTTGTCACTAATAAACCTTGAGATTTGAGCAAATTATCTGCCCACTGTGGACATGATCACAACCAGATTCCTTTCAGCTCCATCCTTCTGTGATCTCAGGATTGATAGTGCCCGATTCTAGGCTTTCAGAGGCACATATTGATACTTTCAGCTACTACTGAACAGTCTGTTAACAAGTGATGCCTTATGGAAGGGAATAGAATGAAATATTCCTGTATGATTTGTCAGGAGACCTAGTTAAATACTCTTTCATTTTGTTTGGAGACATCTCAGAGGTCTTTCTTTTTACATTTCAAGTGACCAAATCTATAGCAGTCCTACTAGATAGGATATTACATCAATTAAGAAATTATTATTACAATTATTATAGGAAATAGCTTTCAGAGGGAAGGGTCAAAATGATTGATTCTTTCTCCAAAATAGAGTACCATTTTTTAATTGATTGCTTTACCAAAATCTTGTTTCTTAGCCTACTATGTATCAGGAATTGTTTTTGGTGTTAGTGATACAGAAATGAATAAAACAAATAGTTATCAGTGAGAGTACATGACAGCTTATGTGTGTGTTTTTAAGTTTCTCAATTTTTGTAAAAAAAAAAAGTGGGCAAAGAGAATAAGCAAATAAATAAATTCAAAATGGGAGAGGAAAAAATGAATTATGAAGGGCCAATGGGTGCTAATTAAGGAGCAGATAGAAGAGACATACCACTGTATACGTATACCCATAGAAGAATAAAGAGATATGAATAGGGTAAGGAGAATAAGTATAGGAGGATTCGATAATTCAGGTGAGAAGAAATAGAAGTGAGGGAGAAGGAATTCTTGTACAGATTAAAATGGAAATACAATGAATGAGAGAGAACAAAAGAGAGGGGAAAAATAAGAAAAGACAACCAAAATTAGGTCATGTTAACTGTTCTTAAAAAGCCAGCTTTTTGAGGGCAGATATTGTCTCATTCGTATTTTTAGCCGTCTTCTCCCAAAGCAAGTACTTGGAAGGCTTCCGATAAATGTTTTATGAATAAATAAATGGGTAAGTCATTTTAAAAAGCATGTGAAATAAAGTCAAAAGATTTGGAAGAGCTCCAAACGGTGGGAGGATATGTGGGAGAAAGAAAAGTTAGATGAATTGTCAAGGCATTTATCAGTCAGATATACACTAATAAGATATGCTATAGATGTTGAAAGTCTGTTGAAATGTTGACTGCCTGACTCTTGTTTTCTTCACCATACCATTAGCAATGCCAATTCTACTGATGTTTAAACAACTCTGAAGGAAATTTACACACACTCCATTTACTATGCATTTAAGTACTGTCAAAAATCCTCTAAAGTTTACTTTTCTGCCTTGTAGCCATTTTCATACGTCTTTGCATAGAAATATATGAGAAGATTCTAGAGGCAATAGACATTAATAAAAAACCGTATTATGTGCAGTTAAAAATCTCTAGAGATAACTTTTAAAAGAATGCTATTCTTGGTGGCTGGTCTCACATTTAATGATCAGAAGCTAATATTTCTAATGAGAATTATGTTTCCAAAAGGGAAACGTTGTTGGCAGTGCCATTTGTATCACTCCAGAACATTGATTTTTAAAAATATTAGGTTACTGCCTGCTAAGAGGTAATATTTTATGCTGTTACATTTCTTTTCAGAACCAAACCTGTCTCTTATCATGAACGAGCTCTCTTTTCAGATTGCAACTCAAGATGCAAATGTTCAGAGACAAAGTGGGAACCCATGTGTGGTGAAAATGGAATCACATATGCATCAGCTTGTCTTGCTGGCTGTCAAACCTCCACCAGGAGTGGAAAAACTATTGTAAGAAATCTTCCCTAAAGTGTGTACCCATGGGCCTGAAACAATATGTAACTATACAAGTCTATGGGGGTAGGGCTCAGGGGCCAACCCAGAATCAGACCACACTGGTAGGAACCCTGGCTCTTACTCTGCCCTTGTTTTTATTTATTTATTTTATTTGTTTTTTTATTGTTAACAGTATTACAGATGTCCTTCATTTTTCCCCCTTTTGCCCCCCCCACCCCAGGCCTTCCCCACACTATTGTCTGTGTCCCTGGGTTATGAGTATATATTCTTGGGTTAATCTCTTCCACCCACCTCCTCACTGAGATGTTATTCTGTGCCCTTGTTTTCTTGTGTGGAGATAGGAAATATTATCATCATGAAGAAACTAGAGTTGTTGAAAGAATTAGGCTAAGAATTAAAATCATGGAATGGGCAGGATGAGCTTGGTAGTTATGCAGTCTAATTCTCTCATTTTGCTTTTAAGGAATATTATTCTTGAATGAGAAAGTCGAAGTCGTAAGATCATATAATAAGATCTGTATTGGGATCCATGTCTGCTGACCCCACCACCAATGGTTTTAGGGACGGGACCAATAGAGGTCAGTGTTAGGAAGGCTAGCCTAAGAGGTCTAGACCCAAGGGTCAGGAATCTGTTTTTGAGAAGGTTGATGTCTCTGGGACTGCTCCTCCTGAAAAATCAAGCCAGTTTGTGTAATCAAGAGTTGGTGACTGGAATGAAGGGTTCCTCTAGGATGGAAGAGGAAGATGAGGTTGGAAATATAGATAGAAAACCAAGGGTTTTATGTACTTCATTATTAACAGACTCATCCCCCTAATCACACCTTCACATTCCTACTCAAACACAGACTCTTCCTCATATCCGCTGTGTATACTGCACAGTGGTCAGGTGGCTTTGTACTGTGGCTGATGAGATCTGCCTGTATTTGATAGTCCTACAGGGCTGAAAATAAACACACATATATTTACACATGCTTGTCTACAATAGGAGAATGCTTAGGCAAACACTTCTGCAGACACAGAGTAATACTTTGATTTCCTCTCTGTTTATTGCTATTTTAACATTTTATTCAGAACATAAAGAATTAGTCTCTAGCAATAGTAAGTAAGACTTCCCTCCCATCTGAAATCTCAGTTTTCACCTTCCATCCCTTTTCATCTTTCTTTCCTTTTAATTCTTTTTTCGTTCAGCCACTACTTTTTGCAAACAACTGCTTCAGCAAAAACAGTTGTTTAATTAGAGCTCCATTTATTGAAGACATTGCATGCCAGGGACTAAGAGAGGTGTTTTAAAAACAAACTCACATTTAAACATTATTTCCTCGAGTAGATGGGTATTATTTTATTGGTTTTCTTCATGTGAGAACTGTGGCACTGAAATACAAGGGATGCCTAAAACTCACATATCTAGTGAAAGACAGTCAAGATTAAAAAGCTTTTTACCTGACATTAAAAAAAATCTCTATTGTTCTCTTTCTTGAAAAGGAAATGCTACCTTTATTTCACTGTTTATCTAAAAATTCACAAACTTTTCTGTGATAAAAATGACAACTTATATGTATATATTCATACATGAAATTTACAGAAATAAACTGATAAGAGATTATTAAAGTTGCTTTTCTGTCCACAATTAAGTTGAGTTTTATTTCTCAGAAGATTTTTTTCCTAGTAACCACTATAAATGTCATATCCTCAAATTTTGCCTCTTTATTTAACAAATTTTTCTTGAATGCTTAAGAACCTATTTGGGGCTATAGATGTGAAATGATGACAAAGCTGACAATTTCTGTCAAAGGTGACATTTTAGTGAAGATACATAGTTAAAAATAAATGATTATATATTATTCTAACAGGTAGCAATAAGCACTGTGAGGAAAAGAGGAGTGAGGATAAAAGGGTGGAGAGATGGGGGTATTATTTTGAATGGGTGATCATGGAAGCTCTCTTTAATGAAATATCTGAGCAGAGACGTATGGTGTATATGCCAGCCATGGAGCCACCTAGAAGAGCTGCCCAGAAAAGAAAACAGCAATGAAGCATGGGTAAACTCGCCATGTTGAGGCTTGACAAGGGCATGATGGAAACCCATGTGTGTGGCTGAAGCAGGAGGAGAAGGGAAAAATCATTGAGCAGTCAGTTCTGAGTGGAATCCAGGGGCTACATCATACACCATGCATAAGCCACTTTAAGGATTTTGGATTTTATACAAAGTACTAGAGGCCCAGTGCATGAGATTCGTGCACTGGGGGTGGGGGTCCCTCAGCCCGGACTGCACCCTCTCACAGTCCTGGAGTCCTCGGGGGATGTCTGACTGACCGCTTAGGCCCGCTCCCCACCGATAGTCAGACATCCTTAGTGCTGCCGCGGAGGAGTGAGACGCTCCCGCCACTGCCGCTGTGCTCGCCAGCCATGAGCTGGCTTCTGGCTGAGTGGCGCTCCCTCTGTGGGAGTGCACTGACCACCAGGGGGCAGCTCCTGCATTGAGCGTCTGCCCCCTGGTGGTCAGTGCGTATCATAGCAACCAGTCATTCCACAGTTCGGTTGATTTGCATCTTACCCTTTTACTATATCCTATATTATATCCTATATAATAAAAGGCCAGCCGCCATAAGCATAACAACCAGAACAACCAGAGACCAGAACCACCACGGCCCCACGCCAGGCTGGCCCCGTCCCCAAGCAAGCAGTTAGGGATAATCAGGCAGGCAGGCAAAGTGATTAGGGGTGATCAGGTAGGGAGACCAGTGGTTAGGGGCGATCAGGTAGGCAGACAGCTCCTTGCCGGCCTGGCCCCGCCCCCAAGCAAGTGGTTAGGGGTGATCAGGCAGGCAGACCAGCAGTTAGGGGTGATCAGGTAGGCAGACAAGTGGTTAGGGGAGATCAGGTAGGCAGGCCAGCAGTTAGGGGTGATCAGGTAGGCAGATGGTCCCTTGCAGGGCTGGCCCTGCCCCTCAGCAAGCAGTTAGGGGTGATCATGTAGGCAGGTGAGTGGTTAGGGGCGATTAGGTAGGCAGATGGCCCCTTGTAGGGCTGGCCCCGCCCCTTAGCGAAGAAAGAGGGAGGCCCAGGCCACCAGTGGCAACTCTGTGGCAGGTGTGCAGCCGGCCAGCAATTGCCTCGCAGAGGGAGGCCCAGGCCAGCCAAGCCATCGCACCCCACACCTGTCACCTGCAGAGAGATGCCACTGGTGGCAGGGGAGTGGGGGGCAGCGCTGCACCGATGGCAAGCAGTGGCAGCAGTGGGGGTGGAGTCAGCTGCCTGCAGCCTGGGGAAGAAAAGCCCTGATAGGCCCTGATCTCAGGCCAGGCCTAGGGACTCTACCTGAGGGGTCCCAGATTGTAAAAGGGTGCAGGCCGGGTTGAGGGATCCCCCCAAGTGCACGAATTTTTGTGCACCGGGCCTCTAGTAGGATAATAAGAAGCCATTGGAAGGCTAAGAACAATGATGCAATCTGCCTTTTTTTAAAGGCTCATTCGGTTACTGTGTGGAAAACACAATAGTTGGATAAGAGTGGACATAAGTTGAGCATAAAGAGACCATTGAGATAATCAAGGCAAGAAATAGTGATGGTTTAGACTTGGAAGGGGCAGAGAAGGAGATAAGGTACAATTGGATTTAGTAGTATTTGCTGGGAGATAACTCTGTAGGATCATTAGTTTGTAAATCAACCATCAGCTGCCTGGATAATAAAATGTTATCTCTATAAATTTTGCTTTGTTCTATATATTCTAACACAGAAAAATAGAAGAATATTTCCCTATTGTTTACATAATGCCTGTATACTATACTGTAAAGACTTTTACAATAAATATTTATTTTTAACTTTATTTAAGTTTAACTTCAGTAATTGGACTTTTCCCTGTCTTGTTACAGATATTTCATAACTGCACCTGTGTGGGAATTGAAGCCTCTAAATCAGGAAATTCCTCAGGCATGGTGGGCAGATGCCAAAAAGATAACGAATGTCCCAAAATGTTTCTGTATTTCCTTGTAATATCAGTCATCACGTCCTATACTTTATCTCTAGGTGGCATACCTGGATACATATTGCTTCTGAGGTGAACACTGACTCTCCTTTCCCATTTCTAATATAAGACATGCTATAGCCATCTAGAGCAGTGGAATCATCATGATTTCTTATAGCTCACTTAGGAAACATCCCACATCCTCTTTCCACTTTCATACTTTTCCTACATTAGGTTCTTATACAAAAATGTGGTTGAATAGAAGTTTTTCTAGTGAGGAATGTTTGCAAACCATTGGTCTAGAAAGAAATGTTAGTGCCTACATCACTGTAGCCACTAAATCAATATAGTCTGCTCTTTCTAATGCTGGTGATATTAATCAGCATAGACTAAATTTGTTTTAGATTAAATGTGGTTTCACTGAATTATGAATGGTAGTGTTTATATGACTCTTTAAAGGCTCATCTAATATCACAATTTTTTATTTTTATTACTTTGATATGTAGGTTATTTTTCTATGTATTATTACTCTGGCGTGTGTGTGTGTGTGTGTGTGTGTGTGTGTGTGTGTGTGTTTGAATCAATTGAGGATTCTAATCCACAAATATGGTGCTAATGACTCCAAACATTTTTGCTTTTAAAACCCTGAAATAATTTTTTTATTGATTTTTTACAGAGAGGAAGGGAGAGGGATAGAGAGTTAGAAACATCGATGAGAGAGAAACATCGATCAGCTGCCTCCTGCACACTCCCTACCTGGGATGTGCCCACAACCAAGGTACATCCCCTTGACTGGAATCGAACCCGGGACCCTTGAGTCCACAGGCTGACGCTCTACCCACTGAGCCAAACTGGTTAGGGCTGAAATAATTTCTAATACTGTGCACCCCTTTGCATATTTTAAGTGGGCATCTAAAAATCCTATATAATAAAAGCCTAATATTCTGAGTGTCCGGTCGTCTGGTTGTCCCTTCAACCAATCAAAGCATAATATGCTAATGATATGCTAAACCATTCAACTATTCACTATAATGTGCACTGACCACCAGGGGGCAGACGCTCTGACAGGTTGGTTACCTTGCTACTGGGGTCTGGCCAATTGGGACTGAGCAAGACAGGCCAGACACGCCCTGGAGCCTTTCCTTGGCTGGCCAACCTCCCACATACCTCCGTGACCCCAATCATGCACCAGTGGGGTCCCTCAGCCTGGCCTGCACCCTCTCACAATCCGGGACCCCTCAGGGGATGTTGGAGAGCCAGTTTTGGGTCGATCCCACTCAACGCAGGAGCTCTCCCTGGGGGTTAGTGCACTCCCACAGCGGGAGCACCGCTCAGCCAGAAGCCGGGCTCATGACTGGCAAACACAGCAGCAGTGGCGGAAGCCTCTCCCACCTCCGTGGCATTCAAACATTCCCCAAGGGTTCCCGGACTGCAAGAGGGTGCAGGCCAGGCTAAGGGACCCCCCCTGAGTGCATGAATTTCATGCACCGGGCCTCTAGCTTGTTAAGTTCAATAGTAGCTAAGCATTGATTTCCAGTATATTGTAAATAATTGCTATTAAAAATATAATGATTTTAAATGTAGGTCACTCTTTTAAATGTAACCAATGGGATCTAAAGAAAACGGATTAGATAACCAATATCACCTAATTTAAAATCATTTGAAAATCTTTAATAGTCAAAATGTTGCATATTTCTTTCTTCTTGAATTTATAACATCATTCAACTTCCCTATAGACTCTCTTTCTGTTGTAATACAATTTACTAGAGGCCCAGTGCACGAAATTCTCTGGGGCAACCCCTGTTGGTCAGCACACATCATAGCAAACGATTGAACTCCCGGTCTCCCGGTCAAACTCCCAAGGGGACACTTTGCATATTAGCCTTTTATATCTATAGATACTTAAAGACTTGTTATTTACTCTCCTGTCATAGATCTCCATTATAATGTACATAAATTCAAATTTTAAAATGTTTTATAACCAGTATTTTGTAAGAAAATTTTCTTCCTAATTTAATTAGCCTCACAAATATTACTAATATACAGTTAATCAAACTAACCTAAAAATATTACAAATGTAATACAATTATTAAACAAAAAATCAAATTCTATTAGAAACAATTCTTTAATGAGGTAGATTAGATTATTTTAGATTTTACATTGATTAACATATAGGAGAATGAATATTTAGTTTTTATAAAATGAAACTAATCAAAAGGATTGTATACATCTTGAATTTCCTGCAGTTTATATTATAGAAATTGATTTAAAAATATAAATAGGACCTAACATCTACAAATGCTTTTTTGGAAAAAAGTGTAAGGACAGCATGAGATATTTGCATTTTCAAATGGGAGCGTGGGTTCAAAAAGATGGGAAATCATTGACCCAGAGTTCTCAGGCCAGGATTTTTCTTCATGGGTGGCTATTTTTTCCACATCTTCTTACACTGTGCCAAGTAGTTAATGGACCAAATGAATAATCAGGCTACTAGAGGAAGAGTTTTCCTTATTGCCAGTTCCTCAAATGAACCACTCAGTATTTTGACGTAAGAAGGAGATAAATGTCCTTGGATTGAAGGAGAAAAGTTGTGGGTTTTGACTCTTTTAAAGAGGAGACTAAATGAAATTAAAGATATAAAGAACTTAGTACCATGGTTAACACTCAATAGTTATATAACTTTATTACTATTAAAAGCCACAGACCAATCAGCTAAAGCTATTCAGTCATATTAGGATGCTCTTGTTACTTTAGATTTTCTTGAACTTGGCTGAAAAATTCAGGTGTCCACTATTTAGCACAAATACATGCCACAGTGATTGTGATTGTATCAACCCAGATCAATATAATCCTTTGCTTTTAGATCAAAACCACAAAAACTAATTATAGGTTATTAATTCTTTATTGTCACCTCAAATTCTTGCACTATCTTAGAAGATTGTGGGGGTTTTTTGTGTCTTTGTTATTTTGCTGATTAAACATGATTTTACTTTACCCAACGCCATTTGAATGTGTCATGTAGGGCTGATTTACCTTCTAGGAATGTTAACTATAAGCTCCTTGATGCATTGCCTTTAATTTGGCCTAATTTGCCTTCCCTATGCTAGGACACTAGTGGGATCTCCATAAATGCTACTTGAATTCTAGTATCACTTCACATGTGCTAAGTAGATTGTCACTAACATTATTATTTGCTTTAGTGAAATACACATATATATTTGTAATAGTGCTTTTCTTGCTTTTAGGTGTATTAAGCCACAACTTAAATCTTTTGCCTTGGGTATCTACACCTTAGCAATAAGAGTTCTTGGTAAGTATAATCTATGTTTTAAGTATGGTAGCCATCACCTAAAAATATTTGGAATATTTTTCTAAATATTTTTACAGAATTATCATACATAACTGACTGATATAGGTGGTTAGGTCCCTATTCTTTTTACTTTTCTTCCTTCCTTTTTTCCTCCCTTTCCTCCTTCCTTTCCTTGACTTCTCTCTTCCTTTGTTTCAGAAGTATCTATGGCAGTGGGTCAAACTCCCAAGGATGTCTCGACCCTTTAATACAGTTCCTCATTGTGGTGACCCCCAATTTCATTGTTACACATTGAACATAATTAAAGCATAGTGATTAATCACAAAAACAATATGTAATTATATATGTGTTTTCCGATGGTCTTAGGTGACCCCTGTGAAAGGGTCGTTCGACCCCCAAAGGGGTTGCAACCCACAGGTTGAGAACTGCTGATCTATGGAGAGTCAGTGCTTGGGCCCATGTTATAATAAAATGAATCTGTGAGAATAATGCCATTTTTTGTTTAGCAATCTTGTCTCTTCCAGCATTGGTCTATTGTAAAAAACAAAAAACAAACAAAACAAAACAAAAAAACCGTTCCAGCATTGGTCTATTGTAAAAAACAAAAAACAAAACAAAAAACCACTGCTGTTATAGAAGATCCCTCTGAGAGAAAAGCCAAAATGTGAATCAATAAGAAAGGCTAAAGCCTAAATGTAATTTTATCAGTTATTAAAATGGGAGGAATTATTTTGGGCTATTCTCAATGCTAGGATATATCATTTTGGTAGAAAGATCAGATCATTCAATCAAAGCAGTATGGATGATTTTTTAAATGTAATTGGAATTTTTTTCTGACCACTAGATTTTTCACTATGCATTAATTAAAACTCATAGGAAATAATGTGAATGAGTCAGATACGTTTTCTGTTCTTAGTAAGAAAAAAGTGAAACAATCCTAAATGTTTCTCTGTAATTAAACAGAAAAGAATTATCAGGGAGAAAAATAAACTCAGAGCTTTAAAAAAGTCTGTTTTTTGGTTTATATAGATCTTGACATAAAGTGGGTATAATATATGAAGATACAATATAATCCTGATAAAATTGGGGAAACAACCCCTTCCCCCATCTTTGCCTCTGATAACCACAAGTCTGATCTCTTTTTCTGTGAGTTTGGGGATTTTTTGTTTGTTTTTTGTTGTTGTTTTTGATTCCACATGTGAGATCATACAATATTTGTTTTTCTCTGTCTGATCTGACTTAATATCTCTTAGCATGAATATGAATCTCTGATAAGATTAAAGAGTCATTGTAAAGAGGTATGATTAAAAATGTCATCAGTTAAAGATACATACTGAAAGACACAGAAGGGAACTGACATGATGTCTGAGACTTCTCTTAAAATATTTACCAAAAAAGTTTTGGGGGGTTAAGGGAGGTTTGGGTCTGGAGGTAGACTACACAATACTGATAAAATGTTAAGCTTTGTTGAAGTTATTGATATCACATGAGGGTTTATTACATCATCCTCTCTAATTTTGTGAATGTTTGAAAATTTGCTATTATGAAAATTTTAAAACATATACAGAAGTTTGCCAGCATTTGGATTTTTTTTTTTTTTGGCCTTTCTTCACATTATTAAGAGCAATTGAAGTTAGGTATCAACTAAATATTTTTAAGTAGTAAACAACCTATTAAATTGGACAATACATATGAAGAGTGAAATTTTATTTAAGACACCAAATAATCCCAATTGGCTGTTAGCTATATTTAACGAATTGCTCTTCATGTTTATGGGATTTTATGCATAATAGAATCACTAGATTCTTTCTAGATCCTAGAGTCCTTCCTTATCTTCCTAGGAAGGGAGGCACCCTTACAAATGGAGATTTCCTTATAAATGTAAATTTCCCTTTAAAAAGGAAAAAAGAAACTTGTGCCCGGTCTTCAGAGCTTCTCCTGTGTTTCTGTGTCTCAAAATAGCCAGTTCAAAATAATCTTTATACCAGAGGCATATTGGGGGTGGCATGTTCTGGTCGCCTACAGATGCCCTGGTATCTCCAAAGCAGTAATTTTTGGACTGAAAGGAAGTGGTTCCAGATAGTCATTCATTATAGGGTAATCAAAAAGATGTGCATATATTTTTAGCAGCAATTATTTGTTTTTCTCACAGCAGGCATCCCAGCTCCCGTATATTTTGGAGTTTTGATTGACACTTCGTGCCTCAAATGGGGATTTAAAAGATGTGGAAGCAGAGGATCCTGCAGATTGTATGATTCACATGCATTTAGGTACCGTATCAAACTCATTCCCACATCTCAGGGTTATCTCCTCCCAGGTCTGCACCGGCAATCAGCACTAACTTCCTCAAGTCATCTCACTGCTTGTAAGAAAAAGGATAGTCTAATCAAGGAGCCTGTTTTACAGAATAATTCTATTACCATTTAATTACTTGGCTATACTTTTAATTTTCCCCATTCGTAATCTTAACTTGCATTTTTAATGAGTAATCACTAAAAAAAAAATATGACATAAGATTCCAGAATAGAGTAGAATTCTGAAAGTTTATGCACACAAATGAGTAATCCCCTGAAACTCAGAGGCATTTAAATTTAGGTCATATTTTGGGTTTATTTCCATTCTTTTTCAAACGGAGCCAAACTGTCCCATTTACGTCAGCTATCATCCCCCTGGGCCAGAGTTGGATTTGGCTCTAAATCTATCCGGCTTTTATTGCCAAACTGATGTTCAATTATTCCAGTACTTGAAATGCATAAAAGTAAAAGGTTTTCTCTGTGAGTGTGAGTGTGCATGGGGCTGGGGGGCATGGCTTTTTCACTATGGCATCATTCAGTCCAATTCATCAAACATTTAGTCCCCTTATTGCTTAAAGCAATGCTTCAATGGCTTAGAAGCAAGAGTGATTTTTTTTTAAGGTTTAAAATCTGAACATTTTCTAGAGAAAGAAACCTGGTGCTGAGCCATGGAAGTTGGAAGCTGGATGTGGGAGCCAATCCTCTTAAATAAGTTTGTTTGATTTAACAGACTTTGATGTCATGTGAGAATGTACTTTGGTCTTTGAAAGGGAATAGAGTTCAGCTTCACCCACATTTGCTAAGGCTGTTATTCATTTCCATGTAAAGACAGTATACCTCAATCAGAGACTCTGAGTGTCTGTACAAGGTGATCGAAAGGATCATTCAGCCTGTCTTTCCACACCCTCACATCTTATGACAGAATGTAGAACTCCAGGCTTCTCATGGAAGAAACTGATTTAATAATGGTTTATTCTTAAGCCATTATTTTCTACTGAGAGCTCTGATTCCCCCTTAACATTGCCTCTTGCAGTTTTTCTGTATAAGTGAATTTTGGGCAAGGTTCAAGGGTAAGCACGTGATTTATTATTCCAACCCAGACACATTTGAGAGTGAAAGGGGGCACTATTAAAAATTGCCCTGGGACAACACTGCAATAAACTGGCACTGTTTTGGGCAAACAGGGATATGGTCTAAGGAACTAATTTACAGACAGCATGTAAATGATTATGAAATTAGTAGTAACTGAAAATGACAATACTACTAAAAAGTTACTTGATGCAAGCATACTGCCTGAAATAGTCTCATATGTTCAAAGAAAGGCCTTTTATAGCGACTGAATCTGCATTCTTAAAGAAACCATTCTCATGGTATTTTTGTTGATATTGATGGTTTTCACTGGTATTAATATTTATTGAATGCTAGTATGACCTTTCTTTCACCTTTTATTTGAAGTTGGATAGTTACAATAATTAAGACTGAGATTCTCTCTTCTTCTAGGCACATATATCTGGGACTAACTATGCTGCTGGGAATAATGTCCATTTTCTTAAGTATTGCAGTACTGTTCACTTTGAAGAAAAACTATGTTTCAAAACACAGAAGCTTCAGAACCAAGAGAGAAAGAACAATGGTGTCTACAAGAATTGGGAAGGAAAATTGTACTACAAGTGATCACTTACTGCAACCCAACTGCTGGCCAGGCCAGGAAACACAGCTTTAGAAAAATGATGCTTCAAGCCACCTTTTCTATTTTCTGAAGATTCTGCAAGCAAAGTTTAATCAATGTGAACAGTCTTTATCCTTTCTAAACATTTCTACTTTGTTTTTTTATCCTAGGTATTAGGTAATGCATCTGATAATGAATATAATTAATCATATTATAGAAAATATAGATGATGAAGTGAAACTTTTTAATGTATATACGAATCGTTTATATTCATTAGTCATTCTGCTTAATTTTACCTTATGCCCATTGACATATTAGCTCTATTCCTAGTAGAACAATTGTCCCCATAATGTAATAGCTATGTTCAAAGTAAATTTTATACTGAGATACTTGTCTAGGATACGAGAATACTGTTAAAATTTGAACCATATCTTGGCATCCTTCAACTATCACCTTAATGATGATGATGTTGGATGGAGTCAAAACATGTAGAAGAAAATTTCATTTTAAGCTTCTCCTTTCTTTTGAAATGCAATAATTGATATAGAAGTGTATAGAGGTGCCCTAGCTGGTTTGACTCTGTGGATAGAGCATCAGCCTATGGACTGAAAGGTTCTGGGTTCGATTCCAGTCAAGGGCACATGCGCAGGTTGCAGGCTCAATCCCCAGTAGGGGACGTGCAGGAGGCAGCCGATCAATGATCCTCTCATCATTGATGTTTCTATCTCTCTCTCCTCCCTTTCTCTCTCTAAAATCAATAAAAAATATATATTTTAAAAAATGTATAGAGGCAAATGATCTTGGGGGATTTAAATTTTGCATTATTAGCTCTTCTACCATTCATCACCTGTGTTTTGTGTGCAACATTTCAAGTGACGTGGTTGTAAAGTAATCAAATTAAAATTCATATGCTTGATTGCTCTTCTATGAATTCAATGAATTAAAAAATAATGTTAAATACAATCCTGCTCCTATCTTAATGTATGTAGGCAGCTCCAGACTTATGCACATGATGTCATCCTAACACATATTTGCAAGTTGAATTTCTGAACGTGTACAGTAAATGTGGGTGTTATAGCAGGAGTCAGAGGGATGGGTTGATCGGTGTGGTTCCTTTTGGTGCTCTCCCTGGCACCTATCACAGGGCCCAAGGGCTTCTGGGCCAAGGGCTGCTGCCGGTACTGCCTGCCAGAGAGCTCTCTGTTTCTCTGCAAATGAAAAAGTGAAGCCAGGCATTTCCTCCTTGCCAGCTTTCTGGTGCTTCTCTGGCTAGATATAGTCGGTATGGCAGTCCACCATCTTTAACCTTCAGCTCAATTCTGTGCTGCGTTTTTCTTTCTCCATCACTGCTGCACAAGAGGGCCTGGCCCTCCCAAGGAAAGCAGACCTTAATGTGGAGTCCACCCCAGTGGAATCTTGAAATTGTATAAGTCTCGGCAGCCTTTAGAACAAACAGGACAATAAACAAGGAGTCTTTTTTTGAGGCGTGTCATGGAGCCTAAATCCAACAAAAAGGTCCAGCTCAAAAAAACAGTAGCCTTACTCACACACTGGGAGAATTAAATGCAAACGAAATGGTTTGCGGTCTTTTAATTTTTCCTTTATATACCAGTCCTGTGAATATGAACGGAAAAAGCTGGAGATGGAAAGTTTGGGGATGAAGAGCAGAAAAATTCCTTTAAATATTTATTAATTTTGTCATTTAATTTTAATTGGTGATGCCAGGGTGTTTTTTTTTTCATATTTTACTATTTTTAAGATGAAAATAGACTTATGTTTTGTTTCCAGCAGGCCTACCTCAGACCAGCTGCTGCCCTAATAACTTGCAAGCAGGAATACTTTTTGTCATCTGAATATCAATCTTACCCATAGCAAATATTTACCGAATGGGTGAGTGAGTACACTTGTCAAGAGTTTGCTTTGTAGAGGTGCAATTAAAATTCAGGTTCCTCATCCTGTCTCCCACATCCTCTTTATTTTTCAAAGCTTTTTGTAGCAATATCCTGAAAAATAACTACTTTGCAAGTAAATTTCTAAATAGGATCCTATCCAATTTACTCCTGAATAAGTTAAAAAAAATAAAAATTGGCTTAAAGGATGATCAAATGATTTTTTTTATAAAAACACTGAATGTCAATGAAAAGAAAGCATATTTTATGCATAACCATTAATTCAACAGTGGAATTATATACATTCTAAACTCAGTCATGTGGCATAAGAAGGGAATTGAATTTACTAAACAGCACCTTGATATTTTAGATGAGTAAATTCATCTGACAGAAGCAAGCAGGCTTATTATGCCTCAGAAAGCACATGATTTTTTTTTAACAAACCAAGCCCCATTTCAGAGGTCAAAAATATTCCCTCAGCCCCAGAGCCAAACATTAGAGGTCAGGCCTTGACTGACATGTGGGATCCCACAATTGCTCCATGTTCAATGGGCCACTTTATTTCCTTTTTCTACCGCCATGGCCCCTAGAGTTGACTAGCACCTCAGATGAACATCTGATTCACTACAATCTTCAGACAAATAACGCTCCAGCAATATCATTTTATAAATGGAGTGACTTAAATTGGGTTAAATGATTTGCCCAGGGTGGAGGCAGTCAAACTAATGCTGGGTTCTTCCATTACATCATTATGCCTCTAAAGCAGGTAATAAAAACAAATCATCTGAAACCTCTAAAAACAGCTGGGGGAACATTTGTGACCATTAGCATTTAAGAAATCTCCACTTAAATATTACATATGTATACACTCATCCATAAAGGGAGATTGAAAGAATAAATTGACTATAACATATTCTTGGGAATAATAATTGCTTTTATAATTTTTATAGCAACTATTCAATGAAACAATATTAAGCACTTTCCTGATGTGCTGAGAGCGTTAGACACATTATCTCAATTTCAAGGATCAAAAGAACCTTACATGCTAGGTATACTAGTAATTTCTGAGTTTTCAGAGGAAGAGACTGAGGCTTAGAGACTTTTAGTGACTTGTCCTAAGTCAGCAAGTTTTAGTAGTTGGTAGAGCAAAGATTTAAACTAGGGTTTATCACATCCAAATAGCCACATTATGTCTATGTTAATCTATATCCAAATTTGCTGTCTTCCTCTAAGTTTACTAAGTGTTAATCTTATACATCTACATTAGAAACGTTTTAGCATACTAAAACATGCCCATGTTTTGAAAGAAATCAAATGGTACAAAAAGATTTAAAACGAAAAGTAACAGTCCTTTACCCCAACTTCTCTATTCCTCAAAAGCAATTACTTCTAACCAGTTTGGTTTGTTAACTTTTTCTGATGGTTACTTCCATATCTTTAAATAATATGCACATACCATTTTCTTGATTTATTAATTTGGGGCACTATCTATTGATTCTGATAGATCTCAACTAATGTCACTCATCCTTAGTTGTTCTTCCTCTGTTATCTGCACACAGTGAGGTCACTAGTATGAGTTCTTCAAATGTCACATCAATACTTCCATCCATTTCCTGTTTAATAAACATGAAAAGCATCATGTGTTTTCCCACTTTAAAAAATAAAGTTCTTAGAGTTCCCTCTCTTACCTCTGAGTGTCCAAACTTGTGTTCATCTCCCTCTTTCTGTTAGTTGTGCCTTTACTTTTACATTGTCAACAATGATAACATTTTTAGTCAACTCTGTAAACATTAGATCTAGGAAAGGCCTGAATGGTTATGATTAAGATTGACTTCATCTACTGTTGAAGCCATAAAACTTCATTAGAAAAAAGAATGAGTAGTGAATGTAAAATGCAATTGAAAAAAAAAATGAATAAAAAAGAATGAGTAAGAGAGGGGGGAAAATTTAATAAGGAGGACTTCCTCTGAACCAGGCAATAGAGGCACATTAATGTATTTAAATGTTAATAGATGTGATGTAAAATATGTTTGATGTTTGAACAATTTTGGAACATGTTGAGTTAGTGATACTCTCATATGACTTCAGAATCTCTCAGATTCTTTACTATGACGATGTACAATGCCATTCTCCTAAAGAGGATGTGGCATTAAATCCACTTTTTTATTAGCAAGTCTTGGATCTAATTAATTTTCAATGCAAGACAGTATTTGGAAAACACAATTTTATCCTCCTTTTTAATTATTTTGCAATCTTTATTGGCTTCTGGTATCAGGATGATGCAGTTTTATAAAATTAACTAGAAAACTATTTCTTTTTTAATGTTTTGGAAAAAGATTTTATAGCATAGGAATTATCTATTTCTTTAACAATTGAAAGAATGTTTTTAGCCTTTTTAAGAAATACCTTGAAAAGTTTTGATTAGTTATGTCGCTTTTTTAAATATGTTTTTATTGATTTTAGAGAAAGAGGGTATTGTATACTTGGATTTGTCATTTTTGTGTATTATGTTTATCAGAAACTGGTATCATCAGAAGTGTCAAAGAAATGGCTGTTGGATTCTGTTTCTTTGCTAACTGATTATTTTTTGTTTTTTGCTTTAATTATTTTCTTCCTTCTGTTTCCTTGAGGCACGCTTAAGACAATCTTTACCTAAATTCTTGACTTGTTGTCTTATAACTGTATGTTCTAGCTTAGTAATGAAAACAATATACCTTAACATGCAGCTTTGTTTATAACCCAAAAAGTTTGCCATGCTGCAGTACCAGTGATGTTTTTCTAATTGTTTACAAATGCATTCTTGATTTCCTATTCGCTTAAAAATTCCTATTTCTCTAAAAGAATGATTTAAAATATTTCTATGTGTGGATATTTTAATTTAAGCTTATCTTTTAATTTTTAGATTAATCACATTTATAATATGGGAGTATAGCCTATTCAATTTATCTTTTTGGAAATTTATTGAAGATTTAAGACCAGAAACCATAAAATATATGGTACATATAAATATCCCCGAGTTTTGTAACAGACAAAAAAAATGACATAAGAAGTATCAACTTTTGAAACCTATATAGTTTTGTGAACCAATGTCATACCAATAAATTCAATTTAAAAAAAGAAGTGTCAACTTTGAAAAGGAGGAGTCAAATGATAACCATTCACAGGTACTCCCATCACCTCCTGAGAAACATCTAGAGAGCCAGCTGAACAAACTAAACCAGACTTTGGTAAAGAAGGCTAGTTATACCATAAACATCAAGCAACTAACTACTTAGCTAAATCTGTTATACATAAAATGGAATGAAAAATCCTAAGTAACCTTTTTATAAAATAAAATAGAATAAAACATTCCAAATTATAATAACAACA